TAGAACATAGACATCTAACTTATAACATAATCAGAATTGCTTTAGAACATAATCAAGTAATTTAGAACATAATCAGATTAACTTTAGAACATAGACATTAAACTTAGAACATAATCATAATTACTTTAGAACATAATCAGATTAACTTTAGACCATAGACATCTAACTCATAACATAATCAGAATTACTTTAGAACATAATCAAGTAATTTAGAACATAATCAGATTAACTTTAGAACATAGACATTAAACTTAGAACATAATCATAATTACTTTAGAACATAATCAGATTTACTTTAGAACATAGACATTTAACTTAGAACATAATCAGAATTACTTTAGAACATAATCAGAATATGGAGATGTAATTAGAACCTAATCAATCATATGTCTTGACACGTACATTACCCTTCTCTAGCCCCGAATTTCATTGTTTTTGACATTGTCCTTCATAGGTTTCCATGTGCTTCAACAAAAATACTCCACAATCATGTTTGTTTGCATTGCTCTTCCATTTCATCTCAATGTTTCTTGTTTCGAAAGTGGACAAAACGACACTCTTGTTATCAATTTCTTCATAAAATTCACCAAATGCCTTCAACTACAAAATATATATAAATTAACCTTGAAGAAGATAGGAGGGGCAGTAGGCAGAGTAGAAGAGGCTGTAGTAATAGCCATAGCAGCAACAGATCTATTGTTCGAATACACATACTCAAAAAAAAATTCAAAAATTGACATTAATTTGCAAAAATCGAACTAATTCGAACAAAAAAAAATAATTGACAGATCAAATTTTTCGACCATAAATATTTCACAAAAATCAAACAAAAATAATTCACAAAAGTCGAACAAAATAATGAACAAAAATCGAACGAAATAATGAACAAAAATTGATCGAAATAATGAACAAAAATCGAACAAAAATCATTCGCAAAAATCAAACAAAATAATTCGCAAAAATCGAACAAAATAATTCGCAAAGATTCGAACCCTAAATTTGCTAAACTCGAACTCAAAATAATCAAACTCCATACGAAAAATCCAACTCAAAAATCGCACAAAATAATACGCAAAAATCGACTCCTAAAAATCGCAAAAATAGAACCCTAAATCCGAACCCTAAAAATTGCAAAAATCACCAATTAAAACTGCAAATTCACTTGAACATCATGCTAATTTCATGAAAATTTGAACAAAATCGAAAAGAAAAACATACCTGAAGCGAAAATCCTTCAAATTGCAACTTCTATCAGATTTTTGGGGGTTTTAGGAGAGAGAAAATGAGAGAATCGGGAAGAAGGGAAAGAAAGTTAGAGGAGAGAGAAAAGGTTGGGAGGTGGGTAAGGGGGTTGAAAAAGTTGGACACGTGTTTTAATCTTAACCGTCTAAAACAACTTGATCCTACGGTTGAGATGGATTCTTATATATCTAGGGTTCTTATATATCTAGGGGTTCTTACCGGATCCCTCCCCTATATATATATATATATATATATATATATATATATATATATATATATATATATATATATATATATATATATATTTTGTTGAGTTAGGGATGTTGTACTAAAATTAACGGATATTTTTTTATTATTATTATACAACTAAAAAAAATAAAATAAAATAAACTTTACAAGAAGAAAATTTCAAGTTCAAAAGATCTATAATTGTGTTGTGTTGGTAAAACTGTAAAAGTCAATGTTATACATAAAATTATACTCTTTTGTCCTTCCATGAGAAATTAGTTAAAAATTTAGATACTTACTTTCAAAACAATTCTTATTAAAACTTAATAAGTCAAGCTCCTAACTTAAGTTTAAAGAGAGCCAAAAATTAAGTCGATTAGTGGTTGCAATTAAATTAGGACATCTAACAAAGAATTATATTGTGACAACATATTTTAAAGACTTTGGCCCTGTTTGGGAGAAAGCTGAAAGCTGAAACTGATTGAGTTAGCTGATTTTGACTAGCTGATTTTATTAACTGATTTGACTAACTTATTGTATTAACTGGTTATATAAAAGTGTTTGGTAAATAGCTGATATCTTAAAGGTGATTGAGTTTGTGAAATGACCAATAAGCTAATTGTGGGGTAGGTAGTTTAGATAGGATTTTAAATTAAATGAGGTTATAAGTGTCATTTCACAATAATTAATGAATAAGCTAATTGAAAAAGCTCCTAAAATGAGCTTTTTCAAAAAGAGCTTATTTAGTGAAATAAGCTCTTTCAATAAGCTTTCTACCAAACACTTATGTTAGCTTATTTGACTAGTCAATCAGCTAAAGTTAGTCAAATAAGTTAATATACCCCCAATAAGGTTACTACCAAACAAGGCCTTTGATGTACTCCGTATATAATAAACTTAATTAATACCCTACATCTTATTCATTCTTATTATTATAAAGAACTTGCCCAAATATTGAGTAACAATTGTAAACGTTTCAATTTTAGGTTAAATTATTACATGAGAAGTGAGAATAGAAATGAACTACTTACATCAAGATAAGACATAAGTTTTTTTTTGAGGGTAAAGATAAGACATAAGTTAAACAATGAAGTGAAAGAAGAAAAAGTGGGTTATTATATATTACTATATTAGATTAGGTTTTTTTTTTGGTGTTTATTTAAAGGGTCACAAGGACGGAAATGAGAATCACTTAAAATTGGGAAGGAATCTCTAACCATTTGAGTTGTCCCTCACTCTCTATATTAGATTAGATTATAAGTTAATAAACAATACCTTTATTAATGCAAACCGCACTAGTAATTTTCTACACCATATTATAGTATCGTGTCCTCGTGGTAACAGAACCCTTAGCGATTGGAATAGCTTGTAAGTTGGAACCTAACATGGTCACACCCTAGGTATTGACCTAATAATGGAAGTCAATATCATGCAAGCAATAACATTCTCTTTTAAACAAAAATCTCATTTGTTTCAAAACCTAGTAATTAAAATCATGCACAGTAATTAAATCAGTGACATAGCTTTCGAAGTTAAAGAATTTAAATCTATAATCATAGTTTATTATGTCGGTATTAGAGAAATCCCTTTCGAAGAAATCTATGAACAATCATACCTAACACATTTTTGCTAAGGATTCTAAGTATATGCTTTTAAATCAACAATTGACTAGACCTACCACACACGCACATCTTATTGCCAAGGGTAAAAGGACTAGAAAATGATGGTTAAAAGGCTAATCTATCAAAGACAAATTACATTATATATATATATAACCTATGATTTAGCTTAATTTTTGTCAAATTAAAGACAAATAAACTATGATTAGCATATCGCTTTGTGAACGTAGCCCACAAGTTTTATTTTAATACAAAATTAGCAAATGTAATCAAACAATTAATCGTTGTCAAATTGCTCTTGATTATGTTGATGATGCAGCATTAGCTGTAATCCACAAGTTTATTAATTAGTTTGATCAGTATGAGTATATTAAGTGAATGTCTCCTAGTTTTTGGTAAGCTTTTTAAAAGGTTATGTTGGATTCGAGGTTTGTTTATATCTTGTACTATGGTGTGATGGCTTTCTTTATGTTGCAAAAAATGAAAAGCAAGATGTTAATTTAAGTAGATCTGCCCTATTTTACCTTTCTTTATACGTCATATTTGATATATCTTTATAAATTTCATGGAGGGTTTCGCGTTTGCCTTAATATTGGTTATATACTCTACCATTTTAAGTGAAACGTAACTTAATTTTATTTGGCTGTTAGTTGTTGATTGATTAGGACGAAGACCGATTTATTGGATGAAAATAAAAGTTTTTTTTTTCTTATATGTGGTAAAAGTTATTATGGGAAATTGAGGTGATGTGATGATTGACGGTTGCCAATATATAATGATACTTTAGGTGAAAAGGCAATACAAAAATATTCAAAACTACCTTGCAAGAATATATAGTAAACAATGAAGTGTAATAATCACATTTTACCCACCAAATTATTCATTATTCCATGTTAAAATCAAAAGCGGTACTCTTTAGTCTTGAAACAGTGAGAATAATAGTGCTATTATTCTATATGCTTGACCCTCATCAATAATGTTACATTTAAGAGTTGGAATTTGTTGGTTAGAAAGTATTATTGACTCACTTATTAGTTTGCCTTTTGTGGATAAACATAACTTTGGTTACAATGGAATAAATATTGACATAAATTTAGTAGGGTAAAAGACATTTGAGGCTCCTTTTAAGTTCTTGGTTGTACTTCACTCCTTTTACATCACTATACCCTTTATTTGTTTTTGCTAAAAACGACAAGAAAATCATAAAAATGCGATATACTCCAGTGACATAAATCTTTACAGATCTATTATAAAGCGTTCTTATTATTTTTAAAACGATAGGTTACTGCATAAGTTCAATTTATAACATCCATAAGACCATAATTTGGTTGATAATTTGATATTTAAGTACTTAACCTCTTTTCAAATTTGAGGTTAAGCTACAAATTGGATCAACATGGTGGCAACCAAAGCCAAAATGAACTGTAGTTATTTCAAACATGATCTCAGCTGGGTTTATGGGCCATAACCTTGTACCCTGTCAAGATCAGCAAAAGGAGCAGCCCAATATTTTAAAAAGACTGTATTATTCAGATCATGTGGTCTGAAATTCTGAATTTTGATTCTCCTTTTACTTCACCAATAAAAATAACACACAAACTTTTTAATAAATTCGATGTACAATAAATATTGTAAATCTGTTGTAAAACTGTTCTAAAACGGTCGAAAGTTATCTTTAAATAAATAAAAGTCATCCAATATTGACAAGTTAGAGAGAATGAGAAATTAATTGGAGTAGAATTGCTTGCCTTCTCATTCATCACATTGGGAAATATATAGGAGATACAAATCCTAGTCCTAGTATCACAAGATATCTTAGGATCTTAGGAAAATAACTAAAATAGAAAAGATATTATATGGAAATATTCTATCATATCAAAATAATATACTATCATATCTCAATACCCCCCCTCAAGTTGGAGCGCTTGGATCGTAAGTGCCCAACTTGGAAAGAAGATAATCAAACTGTGCTTTCCCAAGAGCTTTTGTAAAAATATCCGCAAGCTGTGAAGAAGTCGGAACATGAGATGTAGATAACCACCCCTCAGTAATTGCATCACGAACGAAGTGACAATCAATCTCAATGTGCTTTGTCCGTTCATGAAAAATCGGATTCTTTGCAATGTGCAAAGCCGCTTCATTATCACAAAATAACTTAATAGCCTTTGGATGGTGTACTCCAAGACTTAACAACAAAGCCTTCACCCAATCAGCTCTTTAGAACACGAAGACATGCACCTGTATTCGGCCTCCGAAGAAGAGAAGGAGACCGTGGGTTGCTTCTTGGTTTTCCACGAAATAGGTGATTTACCGAGAAAAACAAGCCAACCAGATAAAGATCGGCGAGTCAGGAAACAAGCAGCCCAATCTGAATCACACCAACCCTGCAGATTTAAATCACAATCAGAGCTCAACAAAATACCCCGTCCGGGAGTCCCTTTCAAGTACCGAACCACCCTTAAAGCAGCATCCCAGTGTTCACTACATGGTTGCTGCATAAACTGAGACAAAATATGAACAGAGTACGCCAAATCAGGATGCGTTACAGTAAGATAAATTAAACGACCAACAAGCCGCTGGTAAGGCTCCGGATCAGAGAGAATTGCGCCAGTGGCTAAACCTAACTTGTGGTTTTGCTCCATGGGAAAACCACTAGGTTTGGCGCCTAGCAAACCTGTTTCAGAAACAATGTCCAGAGTATATTTTCGCTGACATAAAAATAAACCTGCAGAGCTACGAGCCACTTCAATCCCCAAAAAATATTTCAAAGGACCTAAATCCTTCATCTTAAAACAGTCACACAAATAGGCCTTAAACACAGATAATGCAGCGGAATCGTTCCCAGAAATAATCAAATCATCAACATATACCAAAACAGTAATTTGAGAATCACGAGTAGTAAATGTAAATAAAGAATAATCAGAATAGGATTGTATGAAACCATACTGTCTTAAGGCCGTAGTAAGTTTAGCAAACCAACATCTCGGTGCCTGCTTTAAACCATAGAGGGACTTTCTCAACCTGCAAACCAAAGAAGGATCCGAACTCTGAAAAATCGGGTGGAAGTCTCATGTATACCTCTTCATTTAAGTCACCGTGGAGAAAAGCATTGTGAACATCCATCTGGTGAATTTCCTAATTCTTTGCAGCTGCAATAGCAAGAACAGTTCGAATCGTTGTCATTTTGGCAACCGGTGCAAATGTCTCATCATAATCTACACCTGCTTTTTGATGATTCCCATATACCACCAAACGAGATTTAAGACGCTCAACCTCTCCATTAGAGAGAAACTTGGTCTTATAAACCCATTGACTCCCTAGAGCCTTTTTACCCGGGGGAAGATGCTCCAAAGTCCAAGTACCATTGTTCTCTAGGGCCCGAATTTCTTCATTCATGGACTTACGCCATCCTTCATATTGCATAGCTTCTTTGAAAGTCGTCGGATCTTTGGTTTGAACAACCGCTGAAATAAACTTCCGATAATTCACAGAAAAATTATCACAATGTATATAATGTGCTAAGGGATACGGAGTACCTGAAGACTAATTGGAAGGCGGAGATGGACTATTAGAAAAAACCGTGTGAGTGACATAATCACGGAGCAAAACAGACGGGAATTTTTCCCGAAAATCGCGCCCCAAATCTGGTTGTTGGGCGACGGGTGGAGTGGTGTTGGTGTGGTCTGTGTGCGGCTGATGCGGTTCCTCTGTGCTACTGCTGCCACCTTGATCAGCCTCGCCAAGGCCCTGCTGCAAGACAGAGGCAGCATCATGAGCAGCAGCTTGCTGCTGTGTTGCGTGAGCATCATGGCCAGCTTGCTGTTGCCATGTTGCGTGCTGGACAGGAGACTCCGCAGCCCCCCTGCGGCCAGCATCATCGTGCCACAAGGGGGTTGCGGTGTGGGCTGCCTCGGTGTCTTCGTACTCTTCTTCCCCCACAAAAATTTTCGCAAAATCATTGTGAACATTATCAGACATATCATGCACACTTACATCAACATTAATGTCATCCGGACAACCAAAAGGAAAAATTTCTTCCACAAATTTGACATCACGAGACACAAAAAATTCTTTGGTTTCAAGATCATACAAACGCCAACCCTTTTTCCCAAACGGATACCCCAAAAAGACACACTTGCGACTCCGACTAGCAAACTTATCCCCCTTAGTCTTTTGATTATGAGCAAAACACAAGCAACCAAAAGTACGAATAGCATCAAAAGAAGGAGATTTATTAAAAAGAATTTCAAATGGGGTTTTGTTTTGAAGAAGAGGTGTTGGAGTTCGGTTTATTAAGTGAGCGGCGGCCAAAACACATTCTCCCCAAAAATAAATAGGCAATTTGGCTTGAAATCTCAAAGCTCTCCCAACATTAAGAATATGTTTGTGTTTTCGCTCCACTCTCCCATTCTGTTGAGGGGTTCCCACACATGAAGTTTGGAAAATAATTCCAGTAGCGACAAAAAAATCAATCAAGCAATTAAATTCGGTTCCATTATCACTTTGAACGATTTTAATTGTTTGATTAAATTGCCTCACAACCATAGCAACAAAAGCCATAAACATCTGAAAAACCTCTGTTTTATCAATCAACAAATAAATCCATACAACTCTTGAATAATCATCAACAATAGTTAAAAAATAACGAGCCCCACACGACGAAACATGACGATATGGACCCCATAAATCACAATGTACTTTCTCGAAAATTCTTGATGTTTTATTTTCACTCAAGGGGAATTTGTCTCTAGGATGCTTAGCACGAAAACATACTTCACAACCTTTATTTAAAGTACTTTTATTGCTAATGTGCGGAAGTAACTTAACTATTTTCTCCGAAGGATGCCCCATTCTTCTATGCCAAAGCTCCAAATCCGAAGTTGCTTCAACCACAGACACACGTTGCACCACATCCGACTTGCCAAAGAAATAATATAGTCCATCTCGCCTAATTCCCATTCCAATCAGCTGCTTCAATCGGTCCTGTATAGCACACATATATGAGTTAAATTGGACAACAACATTTAATTGATCACTGAGTTGTGTAACAGAAATTAAATTGCAATTAAGATGTGGCACAAAAAGAACTCCAGAGATAGTTATTTGATCGGATAATTTGACCGATCCCTCCAAAGTAGCAAGAACACTGTCACCATTCGGCAATCCAACGGGGCATTCAATATAACGAGTGTCAAATAACCAAGATTTATTGTCGGTAACATGATGAGTAGCTCCCATATCTATAATCCAATAAGTATCATCAAATTGACGATGTAGATGATTTTCATGAATTTTTGCATTATCCACAATTATAGGTAAGGGGGACGGAGGTGATGTCTCACCACCGGCCATGGTTGTGATTTTTGAAGGGAAAAAAAAATTAACCTGCTCTTGATACCATGACAAGTTAGAGAGAATGAGAAATTAATTGGAATAGAATTGCTTGCCTTCTCATTCATCACATTGGGAAATATATAAGAGATACAAATCCTAATCCTAGTATCACAAGATATCTTAGGATCTTAGGAAAATAACTAAAATAGAAAAGATATTATATGGAAATATTCTATCATATCAAAATAATATACTATCATATCTCAATAAATATAAATCATTAGTACGAGTATACACTTTTTTGATCGAGTTACACTATCTTAATGAGTAAAAATCAATGAAAGTAACTATACTAAACTTACTCCATTGCCTATTTACATTAGATCACATCATTTTTAAAGTTACGTAAAAAGATTAAAATTTATCTCCAACTGACTAAAAGTTACCCTAAACTGTTCAATTTACATTAATACTAGTATTATGATAAATATACAAGGTACACAAAAGTTTTTGCAAAAAATAACACTTTCACTATTTAAAAGAGCAAGATAAAAGAGTACCACTACTTTCCCTACTATTATGTCAACGAACAAGTACATCATGTACTTCATTTGTTTCCTATTCATCTTAATAATTGAGATTTTTTTTTTCTTTAACTGTATTTACACAATATGAACTTATGGTTTAAATAAATATTACGGAGTATGATTATTGCAAAAGGAAAAACATAGTTATACTAAACTTACTCTGTTACCTATTTACATTATTGCAAAAGGAAAAATATTATGATTACGTGCTAGGACGTGTAAAACTCAAATTAAGAAACAAATGAAGTATATTGTAAATGGGAATAATACAAGTTAATCTGCGAGATAAACAAATTTTTGTTAATGTGCGAGGTAAACAAACTTTTGTTAATCTGATGGCATTTTTGTAAATATATTGAAAAAGCAGGGTCATTTATTCCCCTCAACTATATTGAAAAAGCAGGGTCATTTTTGTAATTAAGAAACAAATGAAGTATAATTGTTGTTTACAACTTGCTTTTACTGTTTGGTGAGGAAATTACACATGTACCCCTCAACTAGTATATGAAAAGACACATATACCCCCCTATTGGTACTTGAAAAGACAATTATACCCCCAAATAATTTGTTAATCTGGGGAATTAACTGGGTTTGCCTCATTGTAAATGGATGTAAAGTGTATTATATATTTCGTCAGTACTACGTTGCTGACATGAGGATTCGAACCCTAGGCAATACAAAAGAGTAAATTGCTTAAATCATGAACTTACGTAACACTATTTCCCATCGAAATAATTGGTAAAATTCATCATTAAAGAATAAATAAAATAAATTAAAAACAATAGAAGCCTGCATTCTCCAAGAGGAACTTTTGTTAAATTTAATCGAAGTAGTACGGGACAATATGAACCACTCCCAAATAAAAATAACTTAAATAAATAAATAATTAAAGATTATTCATAATAGTTGCTTATGCCATGTTCATGTATAGTAGAATAGCACTCCCTTTGTACTAAATTATTTGTCACTTAATAAAAGTACTAATGTGACGATGTTAATCTATCTCTAATTCCTTAAAAAATGCTAAAATATCATGAAGAAAAAATAATTTATTCCATGTAATTATTCAACATATGGTGTATGGGGGAGTGTATCACATGTATATAATACGAAGTACTATCTAAATTCCAACCTTCGTTTGAATTTTGGTGCACAAAAGGGTTCATTTTCTGCAAAGAAATTTAAGAAATTTCAATTATTATTATTATTATTATTATTATTAACTTTTTTTTTTGTAAGAAGATCGAATAGATCGGTGTTAGAATATGATCCTTGCCTCATTCTATTGCATAGTGTTGTTTATATACAAGGTACCTAGGGAAGTATAGCAGACATAGAACCTAGGGAACTAAACAACACATGGGGAAAGATAAATACAATAATGCTACAATAATGCTAAAGGCATCATCACAATTACATAGGCTAATAATCGGTATACATCTTACACTAACAAGTCAGTCTAACTACACAAATTAGGTTCTAGGAATAATGAAGGAAGGGTAGTAAGAGAATTTAACTCCTAGGAAATATTGCAACAGATCAAATTCATAAGGTGAAACGCCTATCAAATACATTATTACAAGTACTTGTTAGTTGTTGATGAATCTAATGATTGTCAATCAAGAAGTATGCTAGATGATGGAAGCATACAACTATGTGGCAATGTACAATATAATGGAAGAAATAGGGTCATACAACTCAAACACGTTCACTAGTCACTATCCAAACAAAAAATATCATACATTTTAATAAGATGAATGTATACAAATTAAACAGTCATTATCCCCAATTTCATAACAAGGTCATCCTTTGTTGTGTAAATATCTTTTTATAATTTTCTTCTCCTTTATTGTGTAGATATCATATAAAATTCATCTCCTATGCACACATGTGCTTTGAATGAATCTTTGATTTTCAATGAATGTGCATTCCATTACAATGCAAAAATATTGCTTATTATATAAATTGAAATCAAAATAATGTTATTACAAATGTCAATTAATGTAATTGATTAATGTATAGTTCACTCTTATTAGTTTAAGATATATACTATTCATCAATCAATTATCAATATAATGTAAAAAGAACTATAAGAGGTGTATGTACAAACATACGTAATATCCTAATATGATAATTAATTAATTCTGTATAATTACACAGAATAA